GAAGGGACGGGTATATATTTTCCTTCTTTGTTATACTCCAGGTTGACCATAAAGGGGCCAAATTGGGGTGTGACATCACGTGGCTATCCCGCATGCCAGGCACCGAATGACCGCACCCAGTGCCCATGCGACTCTCGTGTGAACTGCTCTTCGTCTACACCTATCCGCTTTGATCAACCGATCGCCTTGCGCGTCTTCCCGATCCCACAACCGACGCAGCCTGCTTCTATACATGTGCTTCGTCCGTCTAGTTGTTCCAAATCCTGTGTTCTTTTCTGCTTGCCATGAGAAAACTGCTTCAAATACTTGTACTTCTCGCTTAGATGGAACAACATTTTTTGCCTGGTTACTCTTTGCCTTATTTTGGGGGATTCGAACTATTTGTCCTTGCTGTTCATGCAAATTGACTCCAACCGACTATCATGATTTAAGCAAGTAAAATAAATTTTTGTTTGTGATGGCTGGCATGGGTGTTGTGGATTTGTTTCATACCTCTTCTCTTGTGACACTTTTGCTATTGTGTGCTGGTGTCCACTCCTTTGCTCTTATTCTTAGCTTCCTGTAATCCTGATGTGGTGGTTATTTCTTTTATCGGCCTCCCATTCTTTGGTCCGACAGATGTTGATTTATTTGAGACCATTATCAAGCATAATCATGGTGCAACTTATTCCCTATCAGTCAATTAAAAATTCAAAATTAAAATGGGTTAATTAAGTGCATTAGAGCATAACTAAAAATTTGAAGAGTGACTGATGTAGAACGGAATTGATGGCAGCCACCCAAAAAAAGAAGTTATCCAAGGTTCCTGTGGTGTTTTGAGGGCTTGAGAGGAAGTAGACATCGAGTGGTGGCTCCTTGCTAGAAATTATCCAACAGCACATTTCATTTTCGAACCTTTGGACAGCAAATAGAAAATCTGGGACAGCAATTTCAGAAAGTTCTGGATGGCAACGGTGGCTTCTGAGGACGTTGGACAGCAAGAGGGCAACTCTGACTTTGCAGGACAGCAGTCTCCTAGCATTAGGAGGGCTGGAACAGCAAAGGTCCTGGTTGGAAAATTTCTGGCCAGCAAACTTGGGGGTGCAGGAAACCCCAAACCGGGTGAAGAGGAGGAGGAATTGGGAGACGATGATCCTAGCAAAGCTGCTGGGTAGGAGGTGGAGGATTTGGGATTATTTCCACTTGATGGGGCTGATTTTGTGGCCAAATTAATGAGGTTTGAATTGTTTCCTAAGTGGAGATTTTGGGATTTAGGAAACAATTTCCTAATCCCACCCAGAGGGGCCGGTGGCAATCAAGCATGGAGAGAATTGATGAGGTGGATTGATAGCTTCTTAATTTGGGTATTGGGAATAGGAAAGGTTTTAATTAAATCCTTTTTGAATTTCAAATTCAAATTGAACTTAATTCAAGAACTTTCCTAAAATAGGTTTCATTAAATTAGGAAAGAAATTTATAAATTCAAATTTCTTTGAATTTATAAATTAAATCTTCCCAATTTAAGAGTGGACACTTATGGAAAGGATTCAATGTGTGATTTGAATTTTGGAGGGAGAATATAGGAGAGAGGAGGGCCGGCCATATGGGGAGTGGACATGGGTGTCTAGGTTCAAGGTGTGTGGGCCATATGCATTAATTTGGGGATTGGAATTAAATCTGAATTTAATTTCAGATTTAATGTAATTGGGAGGTTTTCTAATTAAGGATTATCAAAAAGAAAAGCCTTTGAAATTCAAATAAAGAATTGATTTCAAATAAAGATACTTTCCAAATTGATATGAGCTATTTTAGGAAGGTAATAGAAGGGAGGTTTGAATTTTGAAATTCAAAATTCATGGAGGGAGTTTGGAAGGGGCGGTCAGCGGTTAGGGGCCAATGGGAGGCCGGCGGCTATGGCTTGGCTAGGTGGTGGTGGAGCTAGGGCCGGTTTGGTGGAAGTAGGGAGAGAATGAACACAAGTGCAAATTTTTTTTTCTTAATAATTCATCATCTATTTCATACAAGAGCAAGTGCCTCTATATATAGGCCTTAAAAGAAAATGAAAAGACAACTTTGCCCCTTGGGCTTACATAAGACAAGACCCTTAAATACGGGTAAAAACGAAAATTGCATAATAAAAATAAAAATTACAAATAAAATTTAAGATAATGTAGGACGATCAGGACCGTCGATCTTCAGCTCCTCAGATAGGCATGGACGGTTGGATGTTCGCATTAGTGACTTTGGTTAAAATTGCATATTTGATTAATCAAAATGTGAAGACAGGAAAAAAAATGTTTACACTAATCCTCCTAGTACAACTGACACCAAATTAACACGAAACTTGTAAAACTAAAACACCAATTCTCAAATTCTCAAAACTTTCCAAAAAAACTCCAAATCCTGTGCAAACTCCAAGGCACCTGTGCAAGCTACAAAACTTTTAAAAATGCTCCAAAGCAACGTGAACTCCCACAAATAAACAACCAAGAAAATCAGTACTATAAATCAAAATTGCAGTGCTGGAAAATAAAAGGTAGAGTACTGTAAACTAAATTGCAGTGCAAGAAAAGAAAAACAATATACTGTAAGTGCAAGAAAAAGAACCAGTACTGTAAGAAAAATTACAGTGCTAAACTGAAACTAAAGAACATTACTAAAGCAGGAAAAGAAACCACTGTAACAGAAACATTAGTGTCGGGCTGATTAATAATTGAAAATCAAAGTCTAGTGTTAGACTAGTAAATATCTACAAATCAAATTACCTACTGTACAATCTACCTAAATAGAAAGGCAACTCGTAAGCAAAACCATAAGACCTGTCCAAAATTGAAATAACTGGGCGACCTTGTTTATAGAGCTAGGTTGTAAGACCTACCTAACAGACAACTTCTAAATGAATTTGTAAGACCCGCCTCAAAACTAAATCTACAGGCATCTTCTAAGGGAAGCTATTAGCCATATTTGAGAGTCTTCTAAGAGAAGTATTAAACTCTCGTCAAAACAATAAGGAAACTTTCAATGAAAGCCGTAAGACCTATCCAAATAATTGGGCTACTTGTAAGTGAAGCAGTAAGACCCACTTCTTAAACAAATTTCAAGCCACTTCTAAATGCAGAAGTTGTAAGATCTACCCAAATAGTCAGACAATTTCCAGTAGAAGTTGTGAAACCTATTTTTTGGGGAACTCCTAAAATAAGTATTAGATCCCCAACCAGAACTGTAAGTCATTTATAAATGCAGAAGCCGTAAGACCTACCCAAATAACCAGACAGTTTTCAATAGAAGTCGTAAGAGCTATTCTTTGAGGAACTTCTAAAAGAAGTATCAAACCTACAATTAAAACTAATAATGGGCTACTTAGCTTATAGAGCTAGGTTGTACGACCGACATTCAAGTTACTTTTAAATGCAGAAGCCTTAAAACCTACCAAAATAATCATGTATCTTCTAAGGGAAGTTGTAAGACCTGCTATTTTAGAAACTTTTACAAGAAGTAATGAACCTTTAACAAAACATGTGGGCTACTTTCAACGAAAGCAGTAAGACCCATTTTTTAAATCTTGGGCTACTTTCAATAAAAGCAGTAAGACCCACGTTTTAAATCTTGGGCTATTTTCAATGAAAGTAGTAAGAGTCACTTCTTAGATAAACTGGGTTACTTCTAATAGAAGCTGTAAGCCCCGAATCAATTCAATTAATCATGTAACTTCTAAATGAAGTCCTAAATCTCAAACTAAATTTACTACTGATATTCTAATAGATGTAAGTCCAAAACCAACTTTTAAAACTACAACCTATCTCTAACAACTTCAGTTTACTCGGGACCCTTGAGAGGAGGCAACTCATGACTGCTAATCAGATTCTTTAGACATTATGATCAATGATCACTAATATTAAAGGTAGATGATATTTTGGCTTTTATAAAATGAGAAATATTGTTATTCTTTCTCATCAAAAGTCAGTGTTATTCTAAAAGAAGAGAAATATTAACTCCAATCCCATGAAATTTTTTTGGTCTGCAAAAACAAAAGAGAAACTTCTGTTAGCATAATTTCTCTTCCACAAGTAGCTTCTGTTTGTACAATCAATTATGTTAATGACCCAATTTAGAATCCAAATGAAGGAAAAGTAGTATAGAGGGTTTGATGATAAAACTGGATTATATCCTCCTACCTTTAGAAAGGAATTTAGCTTTTCGGAGAAGCATGCTTTCTTTGAATTTTATCAGTAATAAGATTTCAAAGAACTTTTTGCATTGCCTTAGAGTCTAGAGGAAGGCCCACGTTTTTGAAAGGGAGTCTAAAGGGAGCAACCCAGAACATTGCAATTAAAATTTCTTCATTATGACAACATCCAAGATAAATTAATGAAGATCGTAAGATGTTAAGGATGTTACCTGAAATTCTTGAAAGAGGAGCAAAAATTTTGAAGTGCCCAAACCTGAGCTTAGTAGTCATACTTTTCCCTCATTTACTTTTCCTTCGATGTATCTGCCTTTTGTAAGTTGTCTATAGATGCTTATATGTATATCAAATAGAGTTCCATCTATATACACAAATAAATATCCCCGTCTTCTCCATTGTGGGTATAAAATAGCCTAACCTTTACCATTAATTTTTTTTCAGCTTTTTTGGTTATAAATTTAGTTACATATAATGCTTTGAAAGGAAAATTTATGATAAAATACATGTCCATACTGAATAAGAATTAGAATCGTTGGGCTCTGTCTGCTCAAATTTCAACCCTAATTTGATTTTTTGCAAGATTTGATTCTTTATTATATTCCACATGACTTTTAAAGCTTAAATGGTTTTTAGAAATAATAGCAATAAGATATTCGGTTTACTATTTCGTCATTTTTATGATATGCATTTTCCATGGTGATTTTTTTTTCTCATTCAGCATACTTAACTACTTACCTTTCTTGATGTGTCATTTGTGTCTTTCCTAGCTCTTCCAGTCAACTATTGTTAATTTTAGGTTTTTTAATATTTGTGTCCAGTACCTTGACTATTTTACTTATCAGAGACATTATTTAATTGTAAATTACATTGGAACTATTAGAGCTGAGCATGATGATTTCTCTGTTCGCTTTGCCTCGGCAATCAATCAGGTAATTATTTTATCTCAGGAAGGGTTATGTCCTGTTTATGTCCTCTAACATTCAAATTGTCGGAGAGAAATATATTTGTTGTATATTATAAACTGAATGCAAATACATATTTATGGATAAATGTTAAGAATAGAATAGATAAACAATATGGAGGACAATATATTACAGTAATCAAAATACATATTTTTTATCTAGCACTTTCTTACGATAGCACTATCCCTCAAGATGGAATACATATATAAATTTGATCTTCATTGTTACCAAAATTGGCCAAACTATGATGCTTTAAAACCTTTGTATGTAAAGTAGCTGCTTGTTCTTCACGGGAGACGTGTGGAATGATTATCTCATTTGGTAGAATTGTATTTGCAAGATGATGTACCATGGTGTATACTTTTTGTTGTTGATATTCTTCTTGTTGACAATACTAGAGAGAGAGTTAAAGGCAAACATGAATTACGGAGTTTAATAGAGTCTAAAGGTTTTCATTTGAGTATATCTAAAATCGAATACCTGAGGGTAATTTTAGTAGTAATAAGGGGATTGTGACTTTGGGCGATCAAGTGATTCATAAGAGCACACATTTTAGATATCTCGAGTCCATTTTCCATTGTGATGGTGAAATAGATGGGAATATAATCAAGTTGGATGGTTGAAGTGGAGGAATTCATCAGGCCTATTGTGTGATAGAAAAGTACTTCTCAAACTTAAGGGAAAATCCCATAAGATGGTGGTGAGACCTGCAATTCTTTATGGCATAAAATGTTGGCCATTACTAGGGAAGCATACAATTAAGTGTTGCATAGATGATGATGCTTAGGTGTGTCCCGACTCGACCCGAAGGCTCATATTAACGAGGTTGGAACATAAGGTCGTACGGTTGATTTAAAATTTCAATTAATCTAAAACTATCTCAAATAAACTGAAATAACCATTGAAAAATCTCAAAATATTTTAAGATAACTGATATAAATATCTTTCACTTGGAGCGTCTCACATACGGTACACATTTTCACATATTCTACTCATTTTAAATTAATTGAAATATACCCATGAATGTTAGAGTAATTAAGAGTAAGCCACAACTCAGTGAGTAAAATATACTTCTAAATTATAATAATGCAAGGTATGAAGAATAATATGGATGCTTAAACTAATTCCATTAAATTTCTTTTTATCATGATTATCAATATTATGCAAATAACCTAGCTTTATCTTTTCTACAAGTAATACAACTGTCACAGGAGACACTGTAGGTACTCATTTTCTATAATTTTTTTCATTTACGTGCATGGGCACATTGCATACCTAAACAGTATCATAAGAGGGTGTGCTACATTAGTCAACATGCTCATGCAAGCATATTTATCTAGCCATTTTATTCTTATAACATTCATTAACTTTATATGATAATGTGAAACATAACATATTAATTTCATATGATTCAAACTAATCAATCGCTAGATATGAAAAAGATAAAATATGATTTAGCTAACAACAAAAACTTATTAACAAGTATTATTATCTTTCAAAGCATCTAATTGAAAAGAGAACAATATCATTACTGTAATTAAAGAAACATGAGTACTCACCTTGATGCGGATTTTTTAAAAGTTTTGGTCTTACTCTTTACTCTGATGATGATAGATTTAATAAATATATAAAGACTTCGTCGTTAAAATTTAATTGACATATATAATTTAATTAATTTCTAAAAAACTTTCTATATTTAATATATTCTCCATTTAATTAACTAATAATTACTAATAAAATTTCATTATCTTTTTTTTTAATATTAACTTTATATTTTTTAAATATTAAATTTGTATTGATTAAAATTACATTTTCTAATAAAAAAAATAATATTTACCTCTCATTCAAACTCCTCTTCATAGCTCTCTTGCTCCAAACATGACTCCTCTCTTTCACGATTGCCACAGGTTGATGCCTTCTCCCTCTCACTCGATTTTAAAGGGACTAAACAATCCACCCTTCAGCTTTTGCGACACCAAACGACAGATCACCTCGGCCTCATTGTCATCAAGAGGCTCACTCAGTCATATTTCGCGATTCGAAGCGAGGGACCACTCCATCTTCTCATTAGTTTCATCCTCCACCTTCGTCTCTGTGATTTATATGGTTGGAAAGACTTACAGATTGAAACGAACCTCCCTTTCATCTCCCGACGCCAAATGCCAAATGAGGAATGACCCTAACCCTTCGACTTCCACGACACCAAAGCTAAGAGTGAGCTCTTCATCTTCTTCCACTTCACGTGATCCAGATCATTCAATTTTTGCGATTCCAGGTGATCGAATTGACATCGAGCTTCTTCTTCATCTTCTTCCACTTCACGTGATCCAGATCCTTCAACTTCCTCTTCTCCTTCGACCTCATGGGATGGATTTGGGATATTACAATGTTGATGAGTGGCTTTACTCTTAGAGATAGAATGCAAATCAAGCATATATGTGAGAAGGTTGGAGTAGCTCCAGTGACAAATAAGATTAGAGAATGTCTCCTTAAATGATTTGGTCATATAAAATGTCGGCCCATTGATGACCCAGTTGTGAGAGTAGATATATTAGATTTGACCATTGTTAAGAGAGGTAGAGGTAGATATAAAAAGACTTGGTTAGAAAATATTTGAAATGATTTTTTTTTTAGATTTAAATGAGAATTTAACTCTTAACAAGACATAATGGAGAAAATAGATTGATGTAGCCAACCCCACGTAATGGGATAAAGACTTGATGTTGTTGTTGTTGTATTATTTGTGATGGAGTGACAATCTACTTCAACATGCTTATTTAGATAGGATTGCTTGCGATGTAGTTGGATGCTTGATTATCATAGCTAAGAATCATAGAAAAGTTGAATTTTTCTACTAGTGAATTTTAATCCACATCATTTTACAAACAAAATGAGCACTGTATTTGTATTCAACACTCGGCTTAGGTACAACAGTTTACTTATTACTTTTCCAGGTCATGAGATCTTCACCTACAAGGAAAATTAATTGAACTAAACTTTCGACTGCCAACAAATCAAATATAGTCAGTATTAGAATAGGCCTTAATCCTTGAATTATTTTATTTCTAATAGACTAGACCTTTTCTTAGGAGTTTTTTGATATCTTAAAATTCTTCAAACAACATCTCAATGCTTATTCTATGAGTTTTACATATGCCAACTGACCACACCAATATCAAATGATATATTCAATTACGTGATAGTCAGTAGATAAGCTTGCCAACTAGATGGTGATAACAAGAAGCATTCAAAACTTATATCCATTTTTCTATCCGTAGCAGGCTTCCAATTAGGTTTGAGTAGTGCTTCTTGGTATGCCACAGAAATTCAAACAATAAACAAAGACAATGCAAACTGATAGAAGGAAGGAAAGAGGTGATCTAATGAAAAAATAGAGTAGTGGATGGCTAGGATTTGGCTTTTACCTTAGTAAAGAGCAATAAGAAGATGTTGATGTAAGGCTTAGTGGTAGTTAGATGCTCAACCACAGTAACTGAGATGGAGGGATGTGATGCAGAAGGAGATGATTGAGATATGTGAGTATAAACTTTTAAGGAGTAGACTTTGGCATTAACGATGATGGAGGAGATAGAGGGTTTTTGGTAGGAGATGAAATGCGGAAGAAATCAAGAGAGTTATTGTGAAAGCTAACTTTGATAGAGACAGTATTCCTGTGGAACAATTAGAGTACTTATAACCTTTTTGAATATTGAAATGATCCTATTGAATAGCTCAAGGAGAAGAGAGTTTGATCTACATGAAGATAATGAGAAAAACACACATAATCAAAGAGGCGAGGGGTTCAATGGTTGATGGTGATGAAGAAGTAGAGCGTAGTTTCACCTAAAACACATGATTAATTATAACATGCTAGAGTATAATGCATATGAAATTTTAAGGTGTGAGCAATATAGAGAAGATCAAGATGCTTGAGTCGAACAGTTCCATTTTCTTGAGATGCATGTGCACATGATTGATCTATATATCATTTTTTGGCCCAAAAGGAGTGAAAAGAAAATTGTATATATTTACAAATATTATTTTTTGGCCCAAAAGGAGTGAAAAGAATTATAGGCCAGGACTCTACAAATAAATCATGTAAACCTAGTATGCTCATTAATGGATATGAAATAGCAATAATCTAGACATGTAAGCACTGGTTTGGATTCCCATATGTTTGAGTGAATCAAGTGGAAAATTGTACTATAAGATGAAGAGGGAGACATAGGGAAGAAAACTCGATAATGTTTTCTAAATTCTTGGACTTTACAATCAAATTTTGAAACATGTAATGTCACATATGTCAGCTTTGAAAATGGCGAGGAGGGTGAAATAAACAATAGTGCCACCGATACGAGGAAATTGATGATAGGGTAGATAAGTTGCATCAATGAGATAATATATATTGACTAACTTCAATTTCTCCATCAATCATCTTCTTCGTGTTGAGACCCTGAAAAGTAGCTAGAAGGATAAATTGTTTACAGCTATGAGTTTTAGTTAGATAATATATAAAAGATATTAACAAGAGGCTATATGAGACGATTAAGCATTGTCTAATATTAATGAAGATGAGAGATAAGCAGGCTATTTTCTAGACACTAGAGAGGGGGATAAATAGGAGAGATTGCTTAGATGTTAGAGCATAAATGATTATATATTTACATTTAATTAATATCCTTACCATATTCATCTTAAATATCATCTAACACATGTTAAGTAAAGTTGAAAGTATGTATAAGTGCTTCAGGAATAGTTTCTATGCAGATAAAAAAAATACTTTTCTTAGAAAATGATATTCAATAAAAGTGGATGATATATTTTGCTAAACTTTTTAATGAAGATTGTAAGAATAAGATTGACTGTAGTGACTTTAGCACCCTAAATGAAAATAAAGAATATGTTTTTATCGGCATATTAGTAAAACCGAAGTTAGAGAGGCTTTAAAGAAAATGAAGGGTGGTAAA